TATACTCTTAGGTTCTCCATATTGAATTTTCATTTTCATCAATTTTATTCGCAATGAAATTAATAAATAATTAAATTAATTAATTAAATAAAAAATAAAATTTTCATCAATTTTATTCACAATGAAAATTTTTATAAGCGTGAGTTAATGCTTTAACACCTGTGTTACACCTGAGTAAAGAATATTACTCTGTAGAGCGTCTGCCTTCAGCTCAGGTTATGATCCTGGGATCCTGGGATCCTGGGATCCTGGGATCAAGCCCCTATGTCGGGCTCCCTGCTCAGTGGGGAGACTGCTTCTCTTTCTCCTGCTCCCCCTGCTTGGGCTCACTCTGGCTCTGTCTGTTAAATAAATAAAATCTTTACAAATATATATTTAAGGGCCCCCTGGGTGGCTCAGTTGTTAAGTGTCTGCCTTCGGGTCAGGTCATAATCCCAGGGTACTGGGATAAACTTCACATCCTGCTCCATGCTTACCAGGGGGCTTGCTTCTCCCTCTCCCAATCCCCCTGCTTACGTTCCCTCTCTCACTGTCTCTCTCTCTCTCTCTGTGTCAAATAAATAATTATTTAAAATATATATGTATTTTTTAAAAAAGAATATTAGTCTACAAATAAGTAATTGTGTAAAAAAACAGTTCACCCGTGCGTGACTACCACAGACAATGCATACATGCTTAGAGTTGAAAAGATGATCATCAGTGAAGTCTGGCTCTCAGAGACTCCGGAGAACAAGATGCTTCTAATACTTGCTTTATCACTGAAAATATTATATAGGTGATCCACTGTGGTCAGTATAGACCTAACTCTATAAATGATTGAATTAATCACATCCCAGAGATACACCGACGTTTTTACTACTGGAAGTCTTTAACATGAAACAGCTAATAACAGGACCTCTATAAGAAAAATGGAAATAATCTGAAAGTTTCAGGAAATACCAAGGTAAATATTATATTCTAAGTATACATATAAACATTTCTATACATGTAAATTATTAAATATACTCTCCTATAAAACAAAATGTCTTATATCAAAAACATGTTTTTAATATTTACATGTATGCATTTTTTAGCCTGAGAGTAAACACAAGGTTCTGGAGTAGAGATCAGAGTTATTATTACTTACACCAAAAAATGTATACCACTTTTCCCACACCTAATATGTCACAGGCATCCTATAGCGAGCGAGTTGGTTAGGCCTGTATCTACAGGGGTTGAATCATAGGAAAGGGCCCCAAAACTATCATAGTTGCCCAAATGCTACTTTCCCAGAGAAAAGCAGAAAAAAAGCTAATCTTCCTAATGTAAGCAAATTCTCCTTAGAAGAGGGAAGGTCTCAGAGTTCTTACCCTTTGGAATGTAAATAAATGTCTCCTGAGGGAAGATTAACTTCACAGGGTTTACAATCTCAATCTTGAATGTGTCTCAGGCTCTGAGTTTTATAACCCTTTGAAAAAAAAAAAACAAACAAACTTCCTGGGCATTCTCTAACAATCTAATCTCTTAACAATCTTTTAACTTCTAAGTCTTGCCCTTTAACCCAAGTTCTAGTTTTCTAGGCTTACAAAGCTGTGACTATACAGAAACATGAAAATATACACTTCCTGATTAATACACAGTAAAATGAACCAAAACATTTATATTTGCAGCCCTTGTTAATATTTGACACCTCCTAAAATATTGGCTTTCACACCATTTCTGGAGAGCCCTAGGGAATTCCTCGGAGTTGCCCCAGAAGCCTCTTTTGAGGGGGGCATTTAGAGGTGCAGAGTGAGCAGAGCTCTGAAACCCCAATTCCTGCTTCAAATACAACCCATCTGCTCTCAAATTTTGGGCTTCCAATAACGTTTTTTGAAGATAAGGCTCTACCTATATATATATATATATATATATATGTATATATATACATATATATATTTGAAATCCCCTTGGCAGGGGGGTACCCACCAAAAAATCCTGGGCAACCCAAATAAAAATCCTGTCTTATAGAAACAGACATGGTTTCATTTATGTTTACACTTAAATTTTCTTGGTGTAGTGCTCTTATTTGCATTAATGTGAAACCTAATGAAACACAGAACACCACAAAGTTAATCAATTCTTTCTGGGGCTCCAGATATAGTTCACAGGTACTCAGAAAGTTCTTGATGTTCTGCTTGTTGATGTCCTATGTATACAATGCCACTTGAAAAAAAGTACCTAAACACTAGTAGTGTCTTCCATTTCTTCCTGTTTTCTATTACTGATCCTCCCTAAACAGTGCTGTAATTCTCTTTTGGGGGGAAACCAAAACCTCTGTTGCTCACAAAAATAAGAGGTTCCCTTTTCACAGGACTCAGAGTTCAAGGAGCAGCCACTGTACTCTCATATCCACCACCCCAGTTCCTCACTTTTCTACTTCCAGGTAACCCAACATAAAACTTCCTCCCCCTCCCTTCGCCTCTCTTCCCCTGCACTCACCACCATACAAATAAACTGAAGACAAATAGATGCGTCAGCCCCACCAGTTCGGGTGCCCAGATTGCAATTCCCACACTGATACATGGGAAGATTCTAGCGACATTTATAAAAATTCAATATTAAGGTTATACATGCTAGTCTCTAAATCTAAAATAATACGCTATACAGCACTTCCAAAATTTTACAATGTTTCTCTATTGCACTTTTTTTTAAGATTTTGTTTATTTATTTGAGAGAGAGAAAGCAGAAGCAGGAGGAGCAGCGAAAGGAGAGGGAGAAGCAGGCTCCCCACTGAGCAGGGAGCTTGATGGCAGGTTTGATTCCAGGACCTTGGAATCATAACCTGACCCTAAGGCAGATTCTTAACTGACTGAGCCACCCAGGCACTCCTAACTATTGCATTTTTCAAAGGCTAGACTGGGTAGCTCAGTCGACTGGGCATCTGCCTTCAGTTCAGGTCACAATCCCAGGGTCCTGTGTCAGGCTCCCTGATCAGTAGGGAGTCTGTTGCTCCCTCTGACCCTCCCCCCAGCTCAGGCTTCTGGTAGCGCCCGCACAGACACACGTGCACTCCCTCTCTTTCAAATAAATAAATAAAAATCTTTAAAAAAAAAAAAGGACAGACTTATTGTCAATTCATATATCTTTACTTAGGGGGAAAAAAGTCTCCTGGGATTCAAGAAACCTGAGTGCTGGTTGCCACCTCTGCTTGTTATGTGAACTTAAGCTAGTAACTTAACTTCTTTTGGCCTATTTCTCATCTCTAAAAGGGCAAATTGTCTATTCTCAGAAGTGATCCAAGTGGGATTCGGAGTTTTCATATAATTATTAACTCTCCTGGGACGCCTGGGTGGCTCAGACGGTTGGCGTCTTAATTGGCTCAGGCCTTGATCTCAGGGTCCTGGGATAGAGCCCTGCACCAGGCTCCCTGATCAGTGGGGAATTTGCTTCTCCCTCTGACCGTCCCCCACTGTTGTGTTTTCTCTCTCACTCTCTCTCTCAAATAAATAAAATCTTTAAAAAAAGAAAAAAAGGAATTAACTCTCAACACTCATATATCCCTGCAAACCTGATGGTACACTGTTATGTATAATCTACCTGTCAAAAATTCTGCACTGTACTTCTTTCCTTCCCCCATTTCTAATGGAAGTTCCTGTGTGCAGAAGACAGCAAGATATCACTACAGGAAAGAACATTCTAGAAGTGTAGGCCAAGTAAAAAGACAACATACCGTATTTTAATCAATTCTGCAAATCAGTTCCAGTTATTTAAAAAAAAAAAAAATTAACAAAGGTAATTTTGGTCCCCATCGCCTTCATTTTCTGCCCTCTCTACCCAAAAAAGATGGGTTGGTGATATGAAAGGTAAGACAAGTGAGAGTCACTGAACCATAATGATGTGACCGACCCCATGGTTCATTCAATAAATATCTGAGTGCCCAATTACCAGGCATTAAGCTAAGCACCAAACAACGCCCAAAGGCTAAATTTTTGGGCGATATAGAGAAATACATACTGAAGTGGATCATCTGGGGTCCTCACGCCCTAAATGCTTCCCTAAGCCTTGAAGGCATTATCCTGACTTGATTGATTCTATAACTGTGTCAAAAGGAGAAATTAGGTGAACAGAACTCCCTCAGCATAACCGAAAGCCATTTGTGTCTCCACTCCTCGAGGAGGATGCAAGCTGAGAACACATCACACTTCAGCTGGCCCTGTCCCCGAGCACGTGTCACAGAGACAGCGACGGGCGGCTCCCCGCCACCCCCTGGGCTGTGATCTCAGGAGTCCCAAAGTTCTTCAGGATTCTGTTTCCCACAAGCTGATTCCACGAGTCACACGGGACCATCGTTCCCAAACTCCAAGGGAGTAAACAAAGTTCTATAAAACGGTAATAACTTTAAACCACATCTCTAAATAAAATTCTGGGACAGGTGTCTGGTACCAAAGCGTGTTTTATTAGACATCAGGTGTCATGCTTGGATTAACACATCTGTCTTTATAACCAAAAGTCTGTGAAACGGTCAAGATTTTCAGAGCTTTGGTCAAAGTGTGCTCTTCGAAAATCAGCATCCGTGCGCCGGAGCCACCTCCCTCCCCCGCCTCCGAGTAACAAGAACAAGGAAGGAGTAAAGTCCGACATTAGTTACCACGGCCTCTCCCCCCGTCCCGCAGAGCTGTACTCGGAAATCCTTTCTCAAAGGCGGCCGGGTGCACCTTCTCAAGGTGAGTTAAACTTGGGACATGAGGCAGGGTAGGGGTAAGGGGCAAAAGCGAGCCCAGGACGACCGCGCTGGGGCGCGACCTCTCCGCCCCCGGCCCGGACGCCGAGCAGGGGGACCCCGGGGCGGGCGAGGTGCGGGGCCAGGCCGGCCGCGAGGCCACCGAGCGAGGGCCCCGAGAGGCGGGAAAGGCCAGAGGGTGGGCTGTGGGGGCAGAAGACGCTTCGGGAAAGCGCGGGCGCTCGCCCCACGGCGCCGCCGGAGGAGGAGACCCGGGCCGGAGTCCCCTTCGCCGCCCGGACCGCGTCTCGGAGGGTACCTGACTGCGGGCGGCCGGTCCACAAACCCCTCCCGCCGCCCGGGCCGATGAGGAGGCCGGTTCTCCGCAGAGCCACGACCCTCGCCAGCGTCGCCAGCATCGCGCGCCTCTCAGATAGCCTAGGTCCCGGCGTGAGGAAAGAGTGCAGCGCGCGCGCCGCCCGCGGCCCGCACCACAGGGGGCGCCCATGAGCAAATCAGGCCCCGCCCTCCTCCCGCCTAGTGGGCGGGGCCTCGCCCGGCAGTGCTTGCGCGGTTAGTGCTTTCCGGGAGGTGCCTTCCAGTTCGTGCAGTGGTTCGCTTAATCGGTCCTGAGCAGGCAGCGCAAGACCATAAATGCCTTTGCTGGAGCTGAGTGTTCGGCTTTTGTCCTTTTTCCTTCTCTTGCCTTTATTTAAATCTGCTTGATCTCTACCCAATTCAGTAACCCACTTCCACCGTGCGCCTGCCAGAACCTTTGTGAGGCCGGAACCAATATGCTGTGCCTCGATGGCGGCCGGAGGACTGTTTTGGCAAGGACCACCAAGTCTGTGAGAAGGGTTGGTCGGGACAGTTCCGGCGGGAGAAGGCGGCAGTGAGGTCCTCGTCTTCGTCTCCTGAGATGCACCGACAGAATTTTCGACCCCCGACTCCTCCCTACCCCGGCGCGGGTGTAGGAGGTTGGGGTAGCGGGAGCAGCTTCCGGGGTACCCCGGGCGGAGGCGGACCGCGGCCGCCCTCCCCTCGGGACGGGTACGGGAGTCCGCACCACACGCCGCCGTACGGGCCCCGGTCTAGGCCCTACGGGAGCAGCCACTCTCCGCGACACGGCGGCAGCTTCCCGGGGGGCCGATTCGGGTCTCCGTCCCCTGGCGGCTACCCTGGCTCCTACTCCAAGTCCCCCGCGGGGTCCCAGCAGCAATTCGGCTACTCCCCAGGGCAGCAGCAGACCCACCCCCAGGTAATAATAGCCAGCGTTTGCCGAGCTCTTACTGTATGGCAGGCATGGTACTAATAATAATCCCTTTACATGGATTATTTTGTCTGATCCTCTATGAGGTGAGATACTATTGTTGGCCCTGTTTTGCAGATGAGTAAACTGAGGCTGAGAGAGAAGTTAAGTAACTTACTGTAGGTGACCTTAGGTAGCAGAGCTGTACTTTCTGTTTCTAGAGCCCTCCCGCTTTGAACTAGTACACTGCCGTTCCTACGCACGTTTCCCTAATTCCTATCCTTGCCTGCGATCGTGCCAGTTCGTCTGAGTAAATTACTCTCCGATGGGTAAAACGAATGAATTCCCAGCGTAGAGCTCTCTGGGTTATAGGGTTATAGACTGGTGCCATTTTCCCACTACTGGCACACTTTTTTGGCGTGGGCGGGGTGGGAGGGAGAAGGTGGTGGGGAGGGGAGCTTCAGACTACGCTGGCTTCTGCTCCAGGTCTTCCTAGGGAAAAATCGGTGATTTGTGGAAGTTTCCCCTTCCTCTCCGTGAACACAGGAGACCGAGGGAGTATTTCTGGTGTGCCTAGGATTCGTGTGATTTAAAATTTAAACGGTTTTCTGCTTTCCGTGGTGCTAAACCAACCCCACCCCTTTTGAGTCTGGAGCTAAGTAGATAAAATTTCATAGGATGGAATTTTGAAGCCGCAGGGTTAAAGCACAGTTATTTCATCACCAGTTCTGCAGAGTTACTGCATTAGAAATCAAAAAGCATTTGAGCTGACAAATGGAATTATTAATAAACGAGTATGTCAAATTGGCTTAAATACTTTTACAAACAAAAACACTAGATTAAAAGAAGAATGGACTTTGCAGTTGAACATGCTTGGGTTCAAAATAACTTTTAACTAGCAGTGTGATCCCCACTAGCTTTAAAAAAAAAAAAAGTGCCAATTATCTCTACAAAACATTTTTTTAACTGATGATTTTTTTTCTAAAGGGTTCTCCAAGGACATCTACACCATTTGGATCAGGGCGTGGTAGAGAAAAAAGAATGTCTAATGAGTTGGAAAATTATTTCAAGCCTTCAATGCTTGAAGACCCTTGGGCTGGCCTAGAACCAGTATCTGTAGTGGATATTAACCAACAATACAGCAATACTCAAACATTCACAGGCAAAAAAGGAAGATACTTTTGTTAACATTTCTGAAATTCACCCGGAAGCTTCATGTGTCAGGAACATCTTGGACAAACCTTTTACTCCTGTAATTAAGTTGAACCCTAAGATGGTGACTTTGAATAATTAGTTGAGTCTTCTTGGTATTTTTCATCTTATCAAGTATTGTTGAGATTAGAGAAGACATACAGTAGAGTAATTTGCAATATTTAGCTCTTTGGAAGTGCCTACCACATTTTAGAAGATTCACAGTTTCCAAATATTTAACGTTCATGGTTATATAATGGACATTTGTCTTTCAATGGTTTTCCAATGTTTTAAAATAAAACATTTTGTCTTTCTAGATATATTGTGGTTTTGTCATATGCTAAAGAAGTAGAATTATTAAAATATTGCCTGTAATCACTTGCTTAGCATTCATAGGTAAATATTTTGCATACTACTTTTGAAAATGAAATAAACCATCCTTAGAGATACAGACAGTTCTGTATTTGTTCACAGGGAAAGAGGGTGAATGAAGAGAACAGAAAAGAATTCTATTCATATTTATTATAACCATTGTTCTTTGTGCATATTTTATGTAATGCTTTTGTAAATGCATTGAAACTTGAAAGTCACAGAAACCCACTTAAAGGGTATTTATACTTTTTATATTCATTTAACTGGAAAAGGCAATGATAGATCATAGCTAGATTAAAGTGTTCTGTATCTGAATTTCTCAACATCTCTCAATATTTTGGAGTCATTTTCTCTTGAGCCAAGGAAGATGGGTACCAGCATTCTGAAATCACTTCCTTTGTGAAGAGAACATCTCCCAACACTGTCCATCCCAAGAAAGACAGATTTGTCCTACCTGGATCATGTTTCTGTATTCCTGAACTAATAATGGCCCAAGCAATGAGGCCTAATTAGCTTGAGCTATGAACCTCCCCTATAATGAGACAGGGCTCCACTAGGCCTGCGTGGATTAGAAAAGTGGTTTTCCAAAGGAAGGGATGCTACACGTGTATACCTAAATTAACTATTTCTTCCCAAATATTTTAACAAAACTAAGTCTTCTAACATTCAGACTTTTTAGATATTTTGATACCACAACATGATGAAGATAAAGCTAGTTAAAATTCTCTTTAAACATTCCCAAAAAGAAACCTCTAAAAATGAAATGGTCACACAACCTGTTTGAGCCATACTCAGTTTCTTACCTCTTGGGTCTCAGAGGCAAAGAAGAAAAGGAGAGGGAAAGAGTTTAGACTAATAAGCTCCATGACAGCCAGGACTATTTGTACCAATTAAAAGCTGGATGAGTTATTTAACTTCTCTATGCCTCAATTTTTTCATATGTAAAATGAAAATAGTACCCATGTCATAGAGGTGTTGTGTTTGAGGATTAAAAGGGTTTATATGTGTGCAACTCTTAGGCCAGAGCCTGGCACATAGTAAGCACTCAATAAATGGTAGCTATTACTTTCTCATTCACCCCTATAGAGCCTCAGCTGCTAGAATGATGTCTGGGGAAATAGTAGGTGCTTAATAAATATTTGGTGAATGAATGCAAGCATTCTGATTATAACTACTGTATTGCTCTGCCTTGTCTCCTGTTATAAAAGGAATAGTAAATTAGTAATTTTCCCCAGTATTTTAAAGGAAATGTCTTTATTCTCTAACGTCTTTCCCAGATGATTTGAGGTCATGAAGTGTGATGAAAATTAGAGCAAATGGAATACTTTTGTAAACCTTTTAATGAATTTTATAGGTAAGAAATACTATCTTTAGGAAATGGCATTTGGAAATAATTATTAAACCACCTCTTAGAGATCACTGGGTTATTGGCAAAGATGAAAAAGGAAGTCAGAAAGGATTTTGTGCCATTGTATTCATTGTATTCATAGCGTATTTGGAAGATACACAAATTGTAACAGTTCTAATGGTTTACGTGCATTTTATTTCACTGTAAGTATAATATTAAATATTTAGTTAAATGTAAAATTTCTTTTTTGCTAAGTCACCAACATCCACTTCAGAGCCAAGCTTTTCTGACTTTCCTGAGAGAAACTTTTGTCCTCAGGAAAGGTGCATTACTGTTTGGCTCTAGTTGGTAGTGTATTCAGTTAACAAAATTCTTGCGACATTGATAATTTGGTTTGTTTCTATTATTAGTCTATCTTTGTTTAGCTGAATCAAAGAATTGATCATTCTTTAAAATGAAAAATAATTGTTTTTTAGTGTTCCAAAATACACATGTTTACCTCCATAGAAATGCTATATAACTTAGAAAATTTTTCAGCTAAGTATGCGTCTTAAATATTCAGGTAACTCAAGAACGGAAGTTGGGTCTTCAAACAAGGGTATGTGTACTTCTGGGAGTCTTCAACCTTCTAAGGGAAATGCAGGCATAGAAAACATTCCAGATCCCCACTTCCCATATATATACTCTTTGTTAAAATGATCTGTCTAAAGAACATTTCCATGTTCAATGGATTATGCCAGTTCTTTTTACCTTCTGCCTTTTCATTGTCACCCTCTCCCACTTTACATAATAAAACTGTGGCAAGCTTGTGTTTTATAAAATAACCCTAACAATATTTCAGGTCCCACATAGTCTTATAGAACTTGCACTACCCCATCAAGATGTGGAGTTACAGCCCTTCCCTTTCAACCTGCTCCAGACAGACCTTTCTGACTGCCCAGTTTAAGAAAGTATGGTAGAAGTTAGTTTTCATTATTAGTGAAGTGTGGTCTTAGAAATGGGTTTATTGGCCCATGTGGAGATGTTCAGAATTCAGATGTGTTGTCAAGTAGGAAATAGTATAATGACAGTTTTTGTTTAATGGCCTTGACTTTTTTGTTTCCTGACTTCAAAAAACCATTTTTCCTGTGGGTGAATCATGTGAAAGTAAAGCAGAGAACAAGAACATAACATGAAGGTAAAGTTCCCTTATTTTTAGGCAACAAATGATTAGATTATTTGCCTCATCTATTTTAGAATATTCAAAATTGGTGCAAAAGCATGATGGGTTTTGGTGAATGCTGTTAAGCAAGCTATTTTCACCATTCTCCATAACAGTAAAGAGCCTGATAAATATGTCTCAAACCTGTCTCAGTAGCATAATTAGCATGGTTTCAAGGAGGAAGAAGTTAGAAGTTCCATGTTTATTTCTGATATGCTAATACTAGATTTTCCAGTGAAAAGATCCCGTATCAAAGGTAAGTTCATGATTGTATATTTTTCAGATTCTTAGAAACATTTTTATTAACCTTTGCCAGTTCATTATCAGATTCTGTAAATCCATATTAATTTTTTTACCTAGCTCAGCTGTCTTCTTTATTCCGTTTCTTCATTCTTAACATGTATTTAGGTTTAAGTTAACATAAACATTTTTTTTAAAGATTTTATTTATTTGACAGAGATCACAAGTAGGCAGAGAGGCAGGCAGAGAGAGAGGGAGAAGCAGGTTCCCCACTGAGCAGAGAGCCCGATGCAGGGCTTGATCCCAGGACCCTGGGATCATGACGTGAGCCGAAGGCAGAGGCTTTAACCCGCTGAGCCACCCAGGCGCCCCTCATGTTAAGATAAACATATTATGAGTTTTGTTGTAAATAAGACATAAAATAGTCATCAGTATACCTTGCATGTTTCCAGAACTTGCTAGTGATTCATTATCTTTTTTGCTCCTAATTTCCATGATCTAATGTTTCATCTAATCTGAGAGACTATTGTATCACTCACTATTACATACCACTTAGTAAAAACACGGCCCAGTAAATTATGATATGCCATCAATTTAAGATGCATCTCAATTTCAAAAATGTTCAGATGTGTGTCTTAGTTTGATAAGATACTGCAAACAAAAATCATAAAAGCAGAACATAAACTCAGGTGTAGGTAAATGGAATAAATATTCCCAAAATATGTACTAGGACATGGTGCATTTAATTTTAGAAAATAAGTTTAGTTATAATTAATTCTTCCTTTTCAGATATTTATATACATCCTAATTTCTATTAAAAAACATGATTGTTTTTCAGACATAAAATTTCTAATCTATATAGAGTTATCCTCAAGAAATCTATGCAATTTCCAGTTTTGTAGAGGGTGTTTTTTACTCAGTTGTGTCTTAATTTTATGCTCTATCAGCAAGATGAGTAAGTGAAAAAGTTACAGATAAGTCTTACTAAACATCTTTGGTTAACTTTCCAAAGAATTAAGAAGGAGAATGGCTTGAACAACAAGGTCTTTAGTGAGAGTGGTTTTCAATTTTTTGCTTTCAAAATTGAAGAAACCTCAATCAGATTGTCAATTAAAATTATTAAAAATAATTTGATGACAGCTCAGTTTATAATTTTGGCATATAACTTAAAAGGAGTCCAGGAATTGAGTAGCCTCACTATAACAATTCTTTCTGCCCCTTTTTACTATATACATGTGTTTTCTCAGCGTTTATACCTCTACATAAAAAGTAACAAAATTGATGTCTTATTCTAGCAATGGCTAGAATTTATCCATGAGTATGAGAAAATGCAGCACCATCCATCTCATTGAGATATATTTCCAATAAAACTTGTTTTGTGTTTTTAATTTATAAAAATTAATATATTTTTTATCATTTGAATAGTAATGATAATCCACACAGTGTTCAACACTTGGAGCTTTATAGCTGTTGGAAATGTATTTAATTTCTAAAAATATTTTTTATTTCAGTAAATATGTATTTCATGTATTTTGGGACAGATGTATAATAGAGTATCAGTAGAAGACTTTGAAGCAATACACTATTGCAATGAGATAAAATTACATAGGAGAGTACAATGGAGATACAAATTGGGAATAAAATAGCATAAAATTTCTGTTAACTGTTTTAAGGAGTGATAGTGAATATCAAATTGCTGTGATTTATTGATTCAGCTGGATATCTTTGTAATGTACTAGATTTAGCTTAAAATTTCAGTATTACAGAAACTTCCTTTACAGTTTTCAAGATTAGGTAAAAATATTTTTATATTGACTTGACCATGTAGAAGAGGGTATATTACTTTTCAAAATATTTTAGAGAATATATGACCAAAAATTTTAAAGGTCTCCAGCAGAGAAGGAAGAAAGGAAATACAATACAGTAAACTATAAATCCAAAAGAAAGCAGAGAAGGAAGAAAAAATAAAACTGACAGTAGTAAGTCCAGATATATCACAAAGAATCTAAGAAAAATAAAAATTCATTTTAAAGAAACATCAGATTGGATTAGGAAAATGGAATCCATCTATTTGCTTGTTTTACAAAGATACATCTAAAATAAAGAGTTATAAGGGCCTCTGGGTGGCTGTCACTTAACCGACTCATGGTTTTCGCT